TCTGCTTTTAATCCCTACTACTCCTTCCGTCCTGACTTATCTGACTTCCTAAATACCTAAAACCGGCCATTTCTTCTAATTTTTCGTCTCCTATTTTTATATTCGCTCTTTCCGTGCTTTTTCTTTCCTTTCATACCAGTATTTTTGTTTTACATTTATTTATTTTCTTACAGTACTGTTTTGTCAATACCGCTTCCATTTTATTTTACGAAAAATTTTACAGGAAAAAATATTATTTTCGTGGGAACCCAGAAAAGTCAGGGAAATTTGGTCTCTTGCTTTTCGATCCAGCGGTTATTGCAAAAGAGTAGGATGTAATACATATGCCTACTTAATTAATACCAAGGGAATAAAATTCTTGCGAGCATTTGATCGATTATATTACCTAACACCTAACCCATCCTTTATGTTCATATACTGTTTGGAAATGTCGATTGAATACATTAATTCGTATATTCCTTTTAATATATGTACACGTACGTGGGCCCGATGTCAAGACATTAGTGGGTACATACATAAGTAGGTCCGCATTTATTCTAGGACGAACCTTATGCGAAATATGGTGAATTAAATGCGTGCATTTACTCGTTAGATTAACGCAAGAGTGTTGGTTGGTTGACATACCGCAGTGACTGGAAATGGAACGATGTTCTATTGTTCGGGTTACTTCCGCCCGCCTGTACATTGTGGAGGTAATGGAATGCATGATTTCTCCTAGCTTCTCCTACACAAATGAGGGTCGTGAAATTGCCTCCACATTACAATGAATAGCAATAATAATAACAATTTAATAATAATAATAAAAATTATAATAAAGCAACAGAAATTGTTGTGGTTGAGTAGGTAAATCAATAGAAGCATGGAAGGATTATAAATTTTGTCGAAGTAAGCTCTCACATACAGGCTTATGATAACGTATTTTATTAAAATTTAATATGTGCTTGTTTTAATTACATATCACTTACCCTCTTACCCAAAATGAATAAATGCAGTGGTTTAATAGCAACACTTTGGGGCGGCAAATACCATTTCTTTATGATCTTAAAACGAGTTAGCTCTTATCTGATTTATTTATTTTAGAACGTGATTTTTGCAAAATTCGTTTTTAGGGCGCCCCTAATACGTAATAGTCAGAATAAGCTATCAAAATTCAATCGAATCGAAGCGACTGAGTCACTTATACGGGACAAGTTCCTTTATATATATGATATGCATAGAGAAAAAGCAATAAAGTCTAATAGAGCTTTTAAGAGAAGTTACGCTTTGCTCAAAAGCTTTTGAGAGTTGGCTTAATTTAAGACAGTCTTCTGAGAAGTATGCGATATTTTTAGATGGACAAAAGATCATCTGGCATATAGAAGCTCATCCTGATATAGGTATGATTTTATTAATGTTTATTTTTAGATATCACTTATGACGGTTGATGCGTACGTTCTAGGTCCTAGGTACCACTAACGATAATTATGCTAATGAATCTTTTGACTAAACTTTGTTTCAAACAAAATAGGGGTGGATACTAGAAAATGAATATACATATTTAGGTTGAGCTTTTGGTCATAAAATTTGAAACATTAAAAAAGATTTGCTAATCTTAGTGAGTACAAGAGGCTGGACAATTTCTGGAATCACTACACCGATTTTGAAAATTCTTGGACAATTAGAAGTTTTCAGTTTGATAATCAATATTTGTATTTTTGAGTCAGTGTAATAGATTTTAGTGATTTACACTTAATTATGTCTCTCTTTAAGAATGACTCCACGAAAAATTGTTAATTTTTTTCCAATAATTCAATCTAACCTCTTAACTTCAGACGACAGAAAAAGGTCGGTAAGTACTTGCTATTAACGTTTTGGATTTTTTTACCGTATCTCCCTTTTAAAAGTCTATAGAGATGTCTCTCCTTCTAGACGGAGAAAACTAAATTTTTGTGACAACCCAAAAATTACAATTTTCGATTGTAAATTACCGCAGAAATAGTAGAATTTATTAGGAAACTTGTAATAATCTCAATTTTGACATGTTTCTTTAAAAATTATTTCAAGTTTCTTAATTATTATTATTAAATTTGTAATATCAACATAAATGCCTAGTAAATTTATTTCTGCTGGGATTTTATTTTTACAAATTTGTGTCCAAATTTTTATTATTTTTGCTTACGAAGTAACGGGCTAGTGGGATAAATTATAAATATCGCTTTAATATTTAAATAAATTTTTATTTTTCATTTTCTCCGTGTCTAGACCCCGTGAATGATTAAATCGAATACGTAACATATATACTACGTTGCAATATGCATGAAAATGTCATTGATTTCAGTGAAAATTTCTTCACATTTCCCAGGGTTCGGTATGAGGTTACTCTACAGAATTTAGTGTAAAGTAGCATGTCCATTAAAACTTATTATATTTTACATTCATTAAATATGTAGACAGCAACAGTTATTTATTGAGTTTTACTAGTGCTTGTAGGCTTTTTCAATTAGCTCATTTTATTATATTATCATTATTTTAGTATAAATATAGTATTTTTAAATGATTTTTTAGTTTCATATTTGTCTAACAATCACATGTTTTGACTGATTTTTTATAATTTTTCTCTTGCCCGACTGAACTTTCACATTACAGGTGTATGTACATATACGGTTCCGATAACAATAAAAAATTATACGAGCTTCTATTCTAAATTGCTTTATCTACCTTCTGGTTTCAGGTCAAGTTCACTTACCAGGAAAATTAATACTTTCTCGTTTTGTGGCTCCATTAAATGAGTGTCTGATGTTAATCTGGATTATCTCTAATGGAAATAGACAGTTCGTAAACCAGATTTATCAACACGTAATGGAAGATATAAATAATCTCATTGATCGTTTCCTATTTTTCCGATGTAATATTAAATCCATTACGGATTTAATAGGTAAGTAGTAGATATTAGACATTCAACATTCTTCTTCTAATAGCTATCTGTGTAGCTTCCCTCGAGTATTACATTTTTGCCGTCTGCTTCATCGGATATCACGGAAAGAAGCTTTTTATTTCCTTAAAAACCTTTCTCCATCATTTTATTTCTTAACTTTCTTGTTTTATTCCGCGGATTTAATATCTCATAATTAATAACTTGGTCTGTTCATTTTGTATTCAAAAAGTGCTTTTTTAATATCATTCCCATAAAAAACATAGACGTAGCCATATTATATTTCCAGTAATTAGCTAGTTGTACAATTACATGTTTCATGTTATATTTGATAGAATTAATAAAACAGTAAAGCAGAAAGGTAAGGGTGTTTTTGACATAGGGCAGAGGAATGAAGGTGGAAGGGCTGGAGAAAAATTATCCCAATCAGTGTTCACAACCTGAAGCGAGGCAACTATCGTACCAGTACCGTAGAATTATCGTACATGGAGCAAAATTATCGTACTTTTCAAAATAATCACTATAATTAATAAATTACTCGTATTAATCCTGATATCAATATTTCTGCAAATGTTTCGTAACTAATTTGTACTTATAAACTATTTAAAATCTTTTTTAACTATATTTTTTACATTTGAGACAGACCTAGACTACCCCCACCCTTTAAATTAAAAATCAGTAATAGATAGAAGAATACTTTAAATATAACAACATATAGGGGGTGGAGGTATGTTAGTGGGGTGTTTTTGACCTTAGGCTATGGTTAGTGACTGCATGACTACAATCACAAAATTGTGGATGGGAAGACCATCGACCCATCTGGTGACCAACACGAAGGGATGTTACCTGCCGAGGAAAAACCTACATACTAGCATGATAACGTTCTTTTGTTGCAGGCACGTTCTTCTAAATTTAACACTGCGACTAACAAAAATGTTTTAGCGCTGTGAGCAAAAAGAAAAAAAATATTCGCGAATAAAAAAAAGTCTTCGTGATATTGTCTGAGAGGGTACGAATAAAATAAATTTTGAATGCATGAAAATTATCGTATTATCTGCGTACGATAATAATATGATATCGTACATCGTACGTAGACATGAAAGATAATTATCGTACGGTTCCGAACACTGATCCCAATGAATCGTTTAGAGGGGGGGAGTGGACTAATTTTTGTGACTTAATATTATTTAAGGGAATTGCGAAAGGTGTGACTTAGGAGGACGAAGGGGAAGGGAAAGATCCAAAAAGATGAAATTCTGAGTCCGCAGGTTTTTAGCGAGGTCGCGATTTTCTCTGGACCTACGGAATTTAGAGCCAGTTGAGGGAGAAGGGGATTTTCATTTAATTTATAATATAATTTAATTTTTATGCCAAATGAATTTTTGTTGTTTGAAGATTCTTGCTGTTTGAAAATTCCTTTAATAACAATAAAGAAAAAATGTCTTCCTTACTTTGCGCCAAATATTCCTTTTTTTTTAGTAAAAAAATAGGGAATTAAAAAAATTCTATTTTCCTATATGCCTACGTTATATGCAGAAGTTAAAGTATATTTTAAATGAGGCAAAGAAATGGGTAAGATTGAAGGATGTGCTTAAGAATTTGTCCGAGCGGTATGGCCTAGAGGTTTAGACCATTGAATAGCATTCGGGAGGACACCGGTTCAATTCCGCCCTGGTCCAAGTTTTTCTGTGGTTTCCTTGGAGCACTTGGGCAAATGCTGGGGAAGTAATATTCTACAGATAATATTTCACTCTGTTCTTCTGACTTCAATTTCCTCCGTCTCAACTTTCTCAGTCCTAGCAGATTAGATCAACAGTACGTATAAAAATTGTATGACTCATACCCTGCATACTATGAGATAATGTTACTAACAAGCCGGTCGTTTTGGAAAACTACATAACATTTTCTTTGAACAGTAATACAATATAAATTGTATTTATGTTTTCGTAGATACACGATTTACGTTGTTTATTGCTTGATTAGACTCGTTGTCAGTCACAGAAGCCGGTAGGTTAATTATTATTTATTCATTGTTGATTGTTCATTCGCTTGAAAAACCACATTATTATACACCGTCTAGAAGGGAGGGGAACGAATTCTTGCGTGCGCATGAACATTGCTGAGAGTTTGAATTTCAAACTTGAGCGAGCTGAGCGGAGCGGATTCTATTCCGTTTCGAAAACGGGAACTGTCAGTAGTACGCCAGTTGTTTCCGGTAACCATGACTACGTAAGTACAAATTACGCGCGTGTTTTAAAAAAGTTTCAAATTGTCACAACTTTTTTATTTGAAAAAGGTATGTTAGTTGATTATGTTGATAGACCTCAGTGAATTGTTTACGTGAACTTTGTCAATTCTTTTGGAGTACTTGTGACAAATTTACAGTTGTGCACTTTATTTTTTCGTGTTTTTATTGTGTGTGGATTAGCATTTTTTGTAAGTTAAGCGAAGACACAGCAAAGGTAAGATTATAAAATATCGGTTTCGCTAAAACATTCTGAAACTTTTTTCGAAAATAACTTTTTTGGAAATGACACACTATTCTTTGTATTTCTTTTTGTTAGATTAGACTATGTTAGGGCAGGATTAGATTACGTTAAGGTTTGTATCAAACTGACGCAGCTATCTAACATTATTTTTTTGTTTACAATTGTCCATTCTATATTTTTCCTTTAGTGGGCCATTCGATTTTTGGAAAAAAAAATTGGTACGGAAGTGTTCTTGTAAATCATTTGATTTATAAATAACAACAATTAATTTTTTTGTAACTGAAGATGACACTTGGATGTCGAAACACGTTTTAGGGGTTTTAAATGTTTCTGAGTAGAAGTTTTAATTTTGGTGTTTTATCTAATAGTTCCACCCTCTACTCAAGCATGTAAACATAGAATGTTATTAAAAAGAAGGTAGAATTTTGCCCTTCCTGGAAAGTAATGAATTTTGGAATCTACGATTTGGATGTGAATTTGAGTAGCTTTTGGGAGTGAATTTAGTTCTGCAGTCTCCCTTTGGCTCGATTGTATGCACCTTTAAAAAGCTAAAAGGGGTAAAAGTATTATCCACCCTAAGGTACCAGGATTTTCCTGAAAATTATACCTGTTAAATGGCTGGAGTGAATTAACTTTTTGCATAAATTAACCGGTTTAATTTGGGAGTGAATTCCGCAATACCACATTATGAGGTTACCTATAGGAATACTTATTTAAAATTATAATTTTACTTAAGAGTATAATGCATACCTATCATGCATGTGTATTGTATATTAAGATGAGGCAGAGACCATATTTATTTGTTGTAGCTTTCTAAAAATATACATATGCCAGATAAGCTTGTAAATACTGTTGCAATTTTATGCCAGAGATTAATAATAATAATAATAATCATTATTAATAATTAATCTTTACGACCTTTTGTTCCTTTTTGTCCCGATGACTTTTATTACATGTGTATATATATGCTTTTAGCAGGGGCGGTAAATGTAATGCGGCGCGGCGGTTTTGTTTATTAGTTAAAATAAAGCTTTATTTCAGTTACCCAATTGTTTGTCTCAGATGTGAATGACAAGGGTACGGTAGGAAATGACAACACAAACGATGTTTGATGACGAATTTATAAATGGCAATAAAAATCCTGCGGACGGAATTTACATACCTCTAAGTCAAAAGTCTGTAAATTAAATTTCACTGCATTTTGATTTGTTATTTAACCGCCTGTAATATTTTAACCATTATCGTTAAAATAACTTTATTTTTTTAAGACTAATAATGATCTATGACTAGACCCATGCAAACTTTATGAAGCTTAACATTACAGAGAATTCTATTGTTTTTATAAATCAATGTTTACATTAATTTAAAAAGCCATCTAGTTTGTTCTGTATCAGCATTAAAAGGAGAATGACACACATTTATAATCAGTACGTCAAGGGATTCGCGTGGATATCACATTGTGCGAAAAGGGCAGGACAAAAAACACACTAAATGAAGATAACTAATCGGATTTCACAGCGTGAACTCGTATAAATACGTAGGTTTTTAGGTTAATTTAATTGGAAGATGATCAAAGGTCGTTATAACACGATTCGTTACACCCGGTTGCTCTTTTGTAAACTGAGCTTCTGTACGGTACGTAATAACTGAAGAACATTTCCACATGACCAATAAAAAGTAACTATGAGGAGGAGTAAATGAACTTCAGGTTGCAAATTTTATTCACCATAGGATGACCTATATTTTTTTACGCATTTTCGATGCTCTCACTGAATAATTTTACTCAAAAGACGTCTGTACTTTTAAGTCATGTGAACAGTGTAACGACAAACGTTTTCAAGTTTTCTTAACATGAGGCATAGGGGACATAAAGGGCAGTACCAAATTAACTCCAATTAATGACACCAAATTATATATTTTCGTTTGTGCGACAAGAAAAACTGCCGACAGGGAAATGTGTTCGGGGAACATGTCGCCTTACCTGTATATACGATACTAGCGAAATACAAGCACTCCAACTTTTTTATGAAGTGTGGATTTAGTAACCTAGATCTCTAGATCATAACTTGGCATTCAGGGAGACACCTTTCCGATTACGGGTTCGTTTGCCCTGGTCCATGTTTTCTATGAATCATTTTGGCAAATATCCGAGATAAAAATGTTCAGTCTCTCAGAGTCTCTAAAAGCGAGACTCGAGTCTCCGACTCTCATCGAGTCTCTGGTGTCGTTGAGAGAGACAATCGAGAGACTGTCAAAAAAACCGTTTAGCGTCTCTGAACGAGAGACTAGAGTTGCTCATAGAGAGATTCTTATTTCGTATCCAGTCTCTGAACGAGATACTCGAATCTCTCAATAAGTGGTATCTCGATAGACATGGTTAAAATTTTCTAAGTTCAACATATTTCAGAGATCCCAGTCTTTCTACGAGAGACTCGAGTCTCTCAATTTTTCTTTTTTATTCATTCAGTCTCTCTGTGAGAGACTCGAATCTCTGAATTAACAATTTTATCGTTCGAGTCTCTCATACAGAGACTGTGAGAGATCCATAAAAACACCTAGGCAATAACTGAGAGACTGTGAAAGAC